ATATAATCAGAACAAAGATAATACAGGGAGAAAGGAACAAGTCACAAAATTTGTAGACATTGCTCATTGAAAGTATTTGTATGGGTGAGTAAAATTTCAGCAATTACCATTGCAAAAAAATTTTGGTCCTAAGTCATATATTGAGAATTTTGCTTTGGGAATTTTTTAAGAGTAAGAAAAACAGAATAAAAATAATTTTATAAAGTGATTTAAATGCTATGTAGAGGTGTGGAACTAAGAAAAAGGAAAAACACAAAATTCTAAACATTTTTCCAGTAGTGTCAAGAAAATAAAATCTCATTTTTTGAGGCTATGGAAAGACTTTGGTGTTATTTTGCTAGATACAAAAGTAATACTGAGAAGTAATACACTGACATATTCTTGCAAATAAGAATCAGAGATGGACTTTTATAATTTTCTAGAACATAATGTTCTAGAGGCCATGTTGAAAAGCCTAATATGACCCAGTTTACAGCTACATTCTACATTCTGAGAAACACCATATGGAAAAAGGATGATTGATTTTTTTTAATTGTTTTAAAATGAGTTCATTAAGGAATGTCCTTAGGAAGGCAACGATACTTGATCTGTCATAAAAACCAGTTCTATTGCTTCATGTTATATATTTAAGGTAATTTCAGAAGCTACAGAGTTCTAAGTTTCTTCCTATAAAAATTAGATGAATTATTTAATTAATACTTGTGTTTGTTTACTTAAAGTATTTTATTTTGGTTATATATATTATATATAATATTATATAATATGTGCCATCTAATCATTTTAAAGTCCACAATATATTGTTTGGATTACATTCACACTGTTGTGCCACTAATTTGGAAACAACTGTTTCCAAATTTTCCATCGCCCCAAACAGAAACTCTAACCAATAGCAAATAACTCCTTATTTCCTTCTTGTTCATCCTACCCCAAACAGCCAGTTCTGGTTTATCTCTAATTCACTTTTTTCTCTCTTTGAATTTGTCTTTCTAGAGAATTTTAAGTGGAATCATATATGTCTTTTTGCTACTGGTTTATTTCACTTAGCTAGCATGTTTTCAAAGTTCATCAATGTTGTAGCTTGTATCAGAACATCGTCCTACTATGACTGACTATTCCATTTTATTTATACATCACACTTTGTTTATTCACTTATCTGTTTTGGGACATGTGGAATTTCCATCTTTCGGCTCTTGTGTATAATGCTGCAGTGGGCATTGGTCTATAAATATCTGTTTGAACTTGTGTTTTCAGTTTTTCCATTATATACCTAGGAGTGGAAGTGATGGCGTGTATGATAATTCCACATGTAACTTTGTGAAGAACCACTAAACTGTCCTCCTCAGAGAATTAATAATTGTTTTCAGTATGTCAGATAACAGAACGCAGAAAAGAGATTTTCAAATGAGCATCTAAACGGATGTTAATTCAATGGAGATATGGGTGCCAGTGGGTTAAAATATTAACCAATAAACCAGCAATACAATTCATTATTTTGTAAATTTTCTATTTTTTCTTAAGTATTTATTCACTGTTATTTTATTTTTTTTAAGATTTATTTATTTATGTATATAAGAGCTGGGATACAGGGCAGAGGTGTGGAGGGTGAGAGGATTCACCAGAGACAGAGGAGGGAACAGAATAGACACATTGACTGAAGTACACTGCTGAAGGGAGCCCTGGGCAAGTCAGGAGAGGTCTGCTGTGCAATGTGGGTTGCTCCTTAGCTGTCTGGGGATTGAACTCATGCTGCAGAGGCTGTGGACAGCTTCATAGATTGTGTCTTAATCCCTTGCACCACCGGAGAGGCCCCACTGTTCATTTAAACCATCTTTATTAAACATCTATCATAAATTTGCGGGCCTCCGTAGTGGCGCAAGGGGTTAAGCACCGCACTGTGAAGCAATCTACAGCCTCCGCGGCACGAGTTCAAAGCCTGGCCAGCCGGGGAGAAACCCACATGGCACAGCAGACCTCTCCTGACTCGCCCACTGCCCCCTCAGCAGTATATATCAGTCAGTCTGCCTGTTCTGTTCCCTCCTCTGTCTCTGGTGAATCCTCTCATCCCCCGCATCTCTGGCCTGTACCCCAGCTCTTGTATGCATAAATAAATAAATCTTTAAAAAAATATATCATAAGCTTGTAACAATTTGGGAGCTAAATTATAGAAAATATGATACCTTGTGTGAAAAATCAGTCATAATCTAGGGAAAAGTAGACAAAAACACGTAATTGCAATCCGATGGATTAATCATTTATGAAGCAGTATCTGTAATAGAAGTTCAGTTTCAAGAAAGACTTTTGAACTCTTCCAAATTTTCTCCCAGAATTACACAGATATTGTGAGGAGTCTGAGGCATGCAGTATAAAATGATCAACTATGTAATTTAGGGCTCAGTGCAATTCTCCTATCTCATCTCACCTTTCCCATACTTACACTGACCTTCCCAATCATTGAAAAGTGAAACTTTTCTCCTTGGGATTATCTCCTATCTTTAGTGTCTATTGCTAATAACAGGTTTAATTAACCAATAGTGATTATAATGACATATTAACAAAGAACTTATTAATCCTTTTCTATGGACTAGCCACTTTACAATTTTTATGTAATCCATCCAACAATTGAGATATAGGTCCATTTTACAGATGATGAAATTAGGGTAATTTGCCTAAGATTATATGGCACTTGTGTGTGGCAATGTGAGAATTCAACCTAATCAGTTCTGCTGCAGCATTCATTATTAGTCCATTATTATCATTTTTCTGCGACTTCTTCCATGCAGCGCAAATCTTTTGTATGAGTGTCCACCTACATTTTAGCCCTTTACTATCGAAGAACACTATGCATCAAAGACTTTTCCTTCCTTTTTTGGTCTCTGTTTGATTCTCCACAAAGAATCAGTCTGTTATATAGCTGAACTGATGAGACAGTATTTTTTTAAACTGTAACCCATTTCAAATCTATTTTGGAAAAAAGCTTATCTAAATATTGAGTATATCAATTTTATTTTCTTAGAACATAATAAAATTGATGATTTTTGGTTGTTTGATAGCAAAGTATTGGATGGAAAGACTTAAAACTGTCAGTTAATCCCCGTTGTGCTTACTGTCATAAATTTGCAGGAATACTTGCATTCTCTACCTTGTGTTTGGCAGGCCTAGGGCATTTTAAATTAATGAATTTCTTAACCACTTAGAGAGAAGATTTAAAACAAAGTTTACTCTCAAGATGTAACTTGAGACTGAGTTATACCACTGTTTTATTATTCCTAATGGCACTGAGTCAATCCACAGATATTTCATCCTGCAATTTTCTACTGTTATGAAAATGCATAATGTTAATCATAGTAATACTTTATAATCTGACCATAAACCAATGTTTATAGTCAGTTAATCATTGTATTACTTTGCTTTAGGTAATTTAGTACATTACCATAATGTAGCAATCTACTTAATATAAATTTTAAAGTGAACACAATAAAAGTTATATAGCATTAATATATTATGCATTCTAACCTGAAATTTTAAAATACAACTGAAGTTTGGATAGAGTTCAGATGCTCTATGATTTGAATTCCTCTGTCTTTGCTGGGAAAAGAGTGAAGACTTAATGTAAAGCAAAAAACTAAACTATTATTCTCTCTCCAAGTATTTCTGTATTCCTTTTATAACCTGCCTTTGGCAAGGATAGCTTTGGATGTCCTCAGGTCAGCACTCAGGAATCTAGAGCTACTCCAATTTGAAGCACTGAACTCCAATTAAGGGAAACCTATCCCAAGTTAAAAAAAAAAAAATCAGGGCCTCCCCGGTGGTGCAGCAGCTGAGCACTGGGTTGCGAAGCTGCCCGCAGCCTCTGCAGCACTGGTTCAATCCCCGGCTGCTCCCTGGCCAATGGAGGAGGGTCCCACATGGCACGCAGACCTCTCCTGCCACCCGCTGCTCCCCTCAGCAGTGTACTTCTGTCCTTCTGCCTGCTCTGCTCCCCGCTCTGGCTCTGGTGAATTCTCTCACCCTCCCGTGCTTCTGATTGTACCCTGTGTTTGTGTAAATAAATTAAAAAAAATCTTAAAAAAAAAAAAAAGACAACACATTTTTTATTAAAAAAAAAATTAGCAAATATTGAACTTAGGTTGCACTAGTTTCAGAAAAGTAGACTAGTATCTTATAAGTGACTTCAAGAAATTTTGTTAATGTGCACTTAAAAAAATAACACTAATTTCAAGACCACAGAATTGGGCATTATCTTTATTTTGAGAAAAACATTCATTGAATGTTTTTGCTAGGAACAATGTTGTATAGTCTCTGTAATATTATCATCTTTAATCTGTACCTAAAATAGAGACTGGAACCGTGGGACATGAAACTTGGAAATCTCTCTGTGTCAAATGGTGATATTACTTGGGATTTTTAGAAAACATATAATAATCTATACATATGGACTCTTTTTTTCGACATTGAATATATTAGAGAAAGTGGATATCGTGGACTCTCATCCCTCAAAGTCTTATCATCAGCATTTGATGTGTCCACAAAGATGGGAGCAGATGATGATAGTTCAAGGAATGTAAAGAAGGAGCATTGTTAAGAATCGGGTATAGGCTGCATGCATACACTGTCTGATGACTTCTAATGTGTATGAAATTGAGTCAAACAATTTATGGATATCAGATGAAGAAAATATTTCCATTTTAACAAAGCTTCAATTTCAAAAATTTTTTGTGTTTGAGGAAAATTATTATAACTGCAGTTGTGTAGTTCACTTTCATTTAAGAAATACTTTAAAGTGATTGAAGCCTTTGAGTATTATTATTCCTGAAAATTTATTTAGAACTTTAGTATTTTTATTATGTATGGGTTCCATGTCTCATATAAACTACATGCTTTTTAAAAAGACAGACTATCTTGTACTGCTTTCCCCTCTTTAATTCCTAACATAGTGTACTGTATATTGAAGAATGATTAATTAATTTATTAAATTAATTCTTTGGATTTTTCCCCCCCAGGTTGTTACAAAATAAAAGTTTCTCTGATGAATGCTTGGACTTCAAGAAAAAGAAGTAAAACTGGCACTGTTTGATCAACGGTAAGAGATAGGATGGAGAAGCTCAGAGTTTCTCAAACTTGCTACAGGCTAGAATCACCAGAATAGAATTATAAAAATTTTGAAGACAAAGCCACCCCCAGACAATTAATGATGAATTATCAGGGGTTGAGGCGGCGGCGGTGGTGGTGGTGGTGTGGGCGTAAGACACAGATTTCAGTAATTTTTCTAGTTTCACTGAGCATACAAGTTGGGCAACCACTGAGCCATCTTACCATCATATAATGGGCACATCTTCTAGTTTTATTTTATTCTGTTTCAAATAAATCCTCCTCAGATTAGGTAGTTTTATCAAAATATATACATAATAAAGAGTGTGTTAAGATTTAATAAAATACTGCGTCTTGTGAATGTTGTAGTGCTGGTCTGTGAGACTCTAAAATTCCTCTCACCACATTTTGGAAAATGGAAGTCAAATGAATGAAATATTTGGTGAACATAGCTTCAATAATATTCACTGGGGATAAAATTGAGAGGATAGAATATTTAATGTTTGTAATAATGATAATACTATGTTAGACCTCAGTACTGCATTTTCCAACTATTTTTGATTTTAGTTCCTTTAGAAGTAAAATTGGTAAATCATTTTTTTTTCTTTGTCATGCTTTTTTCCCTGTGCCATAGTTAAAAGTGTGGGCACACTTAATATTGATATTAATAATAGCAACCATAGTAACACCCACTATTTATTTAGCATCGTTTTAGGTTTTTCTTGCAGATTACCTCCATTCTTGAAATTAACTTTGATATTCTGCTCTTATATTAAAAAGGACATTTAGAGAGATCAATCACAGGGAACTAACTTACCAAACTGATCAGTGACAAAGTTGGGACACTAAGTTTGAGTCGTCCAACTTGAAAGCACATGTTTTTTGATTTTATTTTCTTCTCTTTCCCTGATTGTAATAGCTATATTTGGTCTGACTTCATCCAAATTTATACTATTCCTTTCAATATGTCTACCACTTTCTTTTATCAATAGACGAAAGAAAACTCAGAGAGGAATTACTTTCTGACCTGAATATTTTCATGTCAAATGCAAGAGGGGTTGTGTATGTGTGTGGTTCCATAGTGTGCAAAATATTGAGGCCAGTTTATACATATAAGGGAGAGATGAAAACAAAAATTTCACGCTGGTAGGGATTAAAACTGTTGAGCTTTTGGAAATTGGCTCATTCCCGTGTTTGCCTCAACCAGTCTGGTGCTTTGTGTCACACTTCCCTGCCATATGCAGGCACATTGGCTCTTTTCCTAGGGAAGTTGTTTATTTTAAAACACACTCGGAAGACACTCTTGGCTAAACAGTGGTTATCTCTGTTTTCTGCAATTTGGAACCTAATATTTTGTGGTTGTTGCACCAGTCTACTGACTTCTTGTGTTCGAGTGACAAAATTCCAACTCACACTAGCTCAAGCCAAAGTAATGGCAACAACAAAACTTAGCAAACCACCACCACCACCACCATATTTTTAGGATTCTGGTGGTCTTAGACACCAAATGATGCCCTGTAATAATGACATTGCTTTGGGGCTTGAAACACGCAGATTGGATCTCCTGATTTTCTTTATTTTTCATCACCATGTAGGCCCTCCCTATCTCTTTCATTCCTCCAAGTACTGAGAATGTTTAAGTTTAGGGGATAAGCATAGTTTCATGCCTTTACCATCTCAACCTAGGAATCTGCGAGGAAAGAGATCCTCACCATCCTTATTTTCAGACCAAAGGTTAAAACATCCCAGGGAATGTCTCTGTCCTGGCTTGTATCCCCTGTTTTCTCTCAGACACATCACCGTGGGCAAGCCTGGGATCCATGCCCAATCCCCAGAGCATTAGGGTGGAACTTCTCCCCTGAACTCCAGAGTTGGCTCCAGAGTTGGGCCTGAATTGAAGGGGAGGGGACTTTTCAGAGAGGAGAAGGAAGGTGTGCCTGATAAACTAGAGTGAGAGATCACAATTAGGCATCATTTGATTTCCTCTTATTAACTTAGGTGTGTGGGGGGGAATAAAAGTACAGATTTGGCTTTTAAGATTGGCATCTTTCTACTAAAAAGCCTTTCAAGGATATAGGTGAGCTGTTGAAAACCTAGTATAACTATAAGTATTTAATGTGTCTCATGGTGATTTTGATTGTGAATTCTAGATAAAAGTATAGAATCTAGAGTTAGAATTAAGGTTAAATCAAGGGCACTCTTACTGATATTTTACAACTCCTCTGAGCCACACATGCCTCATTAGTTATATGGGAAAATAATAGTAACTGAGGTAGTATTTTATATGGATTTAATGAGTTAATTTATAAAAGCTTTCATCGAGAATCTGTCATATAGTAAAATTTCAATCATGCTAAATATAGCAAAACTCTGATATCAACAACAAAAAACTGTAGAGTTAAACGATGAGATAGAGATGAGTAAATTGTCCTGCACATTTATAACAGGCTTCATTTCATAACATACATGTGTGACTATATATTTATATATGAGTATGTGATATGTGTATATGTAGTAGATACATACAATATATTCAGTGTATAGTTTACATAGTACACAGTATATTTTAAATCTTTATGAAGAAGGCATGTAGAATTTCAGTAACTACTGTTAATGTCAGCTCTTCTGATGTTTTCCATATTAACTGGCCAGAAATTCAATCCTTTTTATCTTTGCATTCTAATATTCCTTCTAAAATTATCCCATATCCTCCACCTGTTCTGCTTCCCACTCTGTCTCTGGTGAATCTTCTCACCCCCCACACCTCTGGTCTGTCCCCCAGTTTTTGCATGCATAAATAAATATATCTTAAATAAAATTATCCCACATCTACGTATAGTTAGATCCTTATCCAGTTGCCAGTATTTTATAAATCACTCTATAAAAATTTTGTTCTGAAAGTATGATAACCCTCATATTTCAATGCTTTTAATGACATATTTGTTTTATCATGAATTCCTTGCATAACTTACTTCTTTGTGAATATATGAAATATACAGAAAGGATACTTCATCTGACACTTATACAAGTGTCAATGTAGGAAGAGTACTTGAAAAGTTAGTATCATGTTCAGAAGTCATTTAGTTATGACTATGGAAGTAGAGAATTAGTGCCTTTGTTAGCAATGCTTCTATTTAAAATTCCAACCTTTTTTTTTTATTTTTTTTTTTTTTTGTGGGACCCTCGCCGGTGGACGGGAATCGAACTGGCGCTGAAGAGGCTGCGGGCAGCCTCGCAACTCAGCGCTCCACCGCTGCGCCACCAGGCCCTAAAAATCCCAACTTTTAAAATAGAATGGCATTTTATTTTTTAAAATATTTATTTATACATTCATACATACATACATACATACATACATACAAGCACTGGGTACAGTCAGAAGCGAGGGAGGGTGAGAAGATTCACCAGAGCCAGAGCGGGGAGCAGAACAGGCAGACTGATGATATACACTGCTGAGGGGAGCAGCGGGCGGCAGGAGAGGTCTGCACGCCATGTGGGACCCTCGCCAGCGGCCGGGGATCGAACCGGCGCTGCAGAGGCTGCGGGCAGCTTCGCAACCCAGCGCTCAACCGCTGCGCCACCGGGGAGGCCCAGAATGGCATTTTCTTTTGCAGTAGACACAAAATTGTCTTTAAATTTAAGAAAAAAATGTAATTGTTGACCACCAGATGGCTCCCATATTTTTGAAAATTTAACAGAAAGAGTAGAAATTGTATTTAAAATACATAAACATAGACTTGAAAGAAATAAAGTAAAATAAAGAGATATAGCCTTTGAAAGTCTTAAGCACATGCAAAGACAATTGAAGCCACACAATTTGGGGAAATTTCTCTCTTTTAAAAAAAGAAGTATATATGAATAGCATAAAAATGTGCTTTTCAGATTTTTACAGCATTTTTTGAAAATACCATATAATTGACATTACAAGGTGGAAGAAAAAAAAATATGTAGGCCAAAAATCTGCTCAAAATATCATATATGATATAATAGCTAATATTTTCATATGGTTTAAGTAACGATGTCATGTCTGATAATTAATATAAGGACAAATCCATATGCTTTTCTGCTTAAAGATTTTGTCCTAGGACTAAATATTTGTTATTGATGGCAGCCTTCTTTAATGACGCTTCCTCTTTAAATAAGTATCATTTCACTGGACATTTGACAGTAACAATACATTACATGTCAGGCTTATACATGAAAGCAAAATAATTTTGACCTGTGTCGATGGAGCCCATTCATGATGTGGGATGTATTAAGCACTGCTGCTGGACGATAGACGTTGCTGGTATCACAATGTTTTGCAGGATGTTTTATACTACTTTTAATAGGTAAGCTATTAAGATAAAAGACCCTGCACTTGTCGCTCTGACAGCTTTTTTAAAGGCCAAGCTGCCCAATTTGTCTTTCATTAAAAGCTCTAGTGCAATTTTGTGATTTGTAGTCACTGAGCCGTTGAGCTTTCAGAGCGTACAATTCTATTTTGAGATTTTTTTTTTTTGTCAATAAAAAAGGCATATGCTTCAATGAGTCATCTTAACAGAGCAAATCACAAGAAGGAGTTGACCTGCCCTTCCACCCAGCTGCTGCATTTCCCTACCTTTTCTTGTTAGCACAAAGCTTGCCCCTGTGCCTCATACCACAGAGAATCCAGAAATGTGGAGACAAGGTCTCCTTAGCCCATATGGTTTTATTTGTGTTCCGCTGGCACAGTTATAGTCATACAGTAACCAACATAAATTTTTAGTTTTATTATCACCTCTAAAAAGAGACAGAAATGTGAAAATTGAAGCCAGAAGGTTTGTATCACAGGATTAATTAGGCAGGGCCAACTGGAGTCTCGCTCCTCCTGGCAGCGAGTGCCTCAAGAAGGTGCCTGCCTTCAATTATGGAGCGCACAAAGCAATTAAAAACCCTGTTTCTTTTTCCTGAGGTGTTACTTGTTACTTGATAAATCTCTTTTTTAAAATTCTCTGGGGATCTGAA